TAGAAAAATAAGTACAAAGTATTGTTGTGTTCCTGTTGTATTGTAAAACACTTTTGCTGCTATTGAGGTATGATACGGGTAAGGTTAGGGACATGTATGGTGGTATGGGTCAGTTTAAGGGTAGTTTAGGGTGTAAGGGGAGGGTTAACTGTGTAATAACAAATGTAATTACATAAAGTAATTATAGCTGTAATTACATGCTGGTATTTTTAAAATATAAGTACAATGTAAAAGCATATATGCACACAATAAGTTCATTGTATCAAATTATTAATTCCAATGTAAGTACATAGTACTTAAAGCCACTTAATATAAAGTGGGACCGATTCTTCTGGCAATAGAGATCTACCTGACAGCTTCAACTGGGATGACAACACACAGTAAAGGCAAACCATCCAGCACATATCTCTATCCATAATCGAGACCACTAACTGTCAAGCATTGCAGAAGTGCAGAAACCTCTCGTCACGTTTGTGCTCTTAAAAGCCTCGGAACGCAGGCGACACGGAGGATGGCGCTCGAGATCGATGACCGAATTACATCGGCGGTTAAAATAACCCCTTGTTTTTGTTTGGAGCGCTTAGAGAGCCATTGTAGCTGATGGGGGCTATTTAAAGAGCCATTCAATATGCAGGGATGTCAACACTCACTGGCCATAAGCGTAATTGCCCGTCCATTTGCCTGAACCACTACGGAGAAGATAAAAGCTGCCTGTCACACGCATCAGTAGGAAAGTTTGAAGATGAACCATACAGAGAAAGTTTGGAAACACGGTAAGACACTTACAGTACGGTAAGACACATACTTACTGGGTTAGATGTCGTAGAAATGTCAATTTAAAATGTCCATTTAGAGCAATTAAAGGTATAATTCCCCACCAATCCCTAAAAAAACACCTGGCGTGAGCCCAAGAAGCCTCTTTAAACACGTGCACACAGAGGCTGAAGTGGTTATTGAAATGTCAGATCCTCTGGAAGACTGTTGTTCAACTTGCATTAGGATCAGACTCAAGCCTCACTGTATTGAAGGGCTGCCATCTCTAGAAAGTCTTGTGCTGAGAGAGCTGAAAATGCCTGTGCTGTATTTCTTGAGTAAGGGAAATGCCCACTGCTCAAAAGAAGAAAAAAAGGGCTGTTTATATGCCCTCTAAGGCTGAAAGGTTAAGACCAATATAATTGATTCAACAGGATCATAAAATGACAACACACTTGACTTCCTCTTTTCTGTTTACATGTAATTATCTGGCTGTGTTCAGAAGAGCATACTATTGTTATTTCTGCAGAACAATATATATGTATACCAGCAGTGTTGGGAGTAACGCATTACAAAAGTAATACATTACAGTAACATATTACTTTTTGCTGTAACGCAGTAGTGTAAGGCATTACTAATCAATTTTCAGTAATATTTTACTCGTTACATGTTCAGTGAGGCTTGTATTACAGTTGTATTACAGTGTATTGTCTGCTTTTACTTCTTAAAGGCAACAGACTATGTGAAAGGTTTAAAGCAGTCTTTTAGTGCCAGTTCAGAGCGGTCGCGTCTGTAACATTGTTTTTTCCTCATAAATGCGAACACGAAAACTAAAATAAAATGAATATTTTAAGTTCTATGGAGACTGGAGAGCCAACCCTTCCTCATCCGATTTGCGCAGTGTAATTAACAGAATTACAAAAAATATATTTTGCCTCCTATTTTTTTGTCACGCATGAATGTGTGTCTTTTCCCTAATATTAAAAATAAAACATAGACTGATATTTGTCTAATGTCTGGAGTCCTTTAAGGAAGTAGCCTATATACGTTTCAATACATGTATTTTCTGAGAATTTTTATTTCAAGTTTTGACTGCAAATGTCATGTCCATAATGCTGGACCCAATTTTAAATAATTTATCCTCAACTAGTTTTGTGGTGTAGGTCTACGTATTTTATAATGTTAACTTCAAATAATACTAATAGCCTAATTTAAAGATAAGGCAGCATTGGATCTGGACGGTAAGGAGAATAACGCTGGAGTTGGAAGAGGTGTGTCGCGATTTTGTAGGTTCGTGGATCTGAGTCGTGTGGCGAATCGCGATTTTGGTTTCATATTGCATATCGTTACAGCCCCAAAGTTAAGTTCTACTTAGTTATTTTGGTGAAAGTAACTCAAAAGTAATACATGAGTAGTGTAACGCATTACAATTCTGGGACAGTAATATTGTAAGGTAATGAATTACTTTTAAATAACAGTAACAAGTAATACCTAATGTATTACAGTTTGGAAGTAACTTGCACAACACTGTATACCAGTGGCGTAGTCACGAGGGGGCCTGGGTGGGCCTAGGCCCCCTCATTTACATGTCCGGTCCCCTCAGATTTCTGATTGCTTAAAAAAAAAAAAAAAGTTTGTTTTATTAGGATTGATAGATTGACCAATCAAAATGCTGCGCGGTAAAATGCGGCTTATTTTCAAACTTGATTTGTTTATATAATGTGTTGCGCGTAACGTACGCTGTCATCTTCATCTTTGCGTGAGAGTTAATATGCCGTGACAATGGCAGGCGCTCAAACTCAAAGTACAATATTACACTTTTTTTAAAAAGCACGGAAAGATCAACTTGATATATATATAAATAATGTTGCCCCCTCATTTAAAGACGGGACCCCCCAAAAATAAAATTCTGGCTACGCCCCTGATGTATACCGTGCAAATTATGCAGATTTCCTGCATTCATAGAATACCTAGATGACATTTGCTAGAATAAGCATTATAAATTGGACAATTGAAACTCTGAATTCTATTTTTTATGAAATTATATAATGAATGAATACTTCAGAAAGGATCATTTTTTTCTCACAATTGCGAGATATAAAGTTCAGTTCTGAGGGAAAAAAGACTGACATTGCTAAAATCCCGCAATTTTGAGAAAAAAAAGTCAGTTCTGTAATTCTAACCTTTTAAATTGCATTTGTGAGTTTATATCACGCAATTGCGAGAGGAAAAAAGTCAGAATTGTGAGTTACCTTTTAAATTTTTGATTCAGTGGCGAAAACAAGCTTCCATACTTACTTTATAAAAAAAAATAATTATTTGTACAAAATATACACTATTATATTAGTATGGCTCTCTCTCTCTCTCTCTTTTTATCTGTCACTCTCTGTTCCAGTAATTTGAAGCAGAAATCAATGTCAAGTTAACTCGTGCTGCTCTTATCTCTGATTGATTTTTTTGGTTAGCGACGATAATTTGTTGATGTATCTCACCTACTCAAACTTCTGTCTAAATGGAGTTCTGCTGTGTTAGATGACATGTGAGAGACCAGGGATATATCAGAGTGTGTTTGCTTGTTTGTGATGAAAGTTGACATTTTATAGCAGATCTGAAGGTCTTTCATCCAATCAGAATTTAGAGTCAGAACTCTCCAATACAGACAATGAACATCTGACAAAACAGAAAATATTATATTGTGTCTCCCTCTTACGAAACATCCCATCATAATGTTTGACTTGATTTGAAAAATATATATTTCCTAAGTGAAGTTCACTAAGCAGATAAGATAGGATTCCAAGTTTTCCATTAAAATCTATAAAATGAATTGCCTTAATTAAAAAATGTGTCAAACACAGCAAATGATGCTCGTGAAAGCAAGAAACATCCTGCACATTTTATCAGGACCTTGACTAGCGTTCCCTACGCACATTGACATTCATAAGCCATAACATTTAAAAAGCAGGATATATAGCCTATAGGCACATATTTCTACCTCATAACTCAGCTTTAACACTTACTTACAAATCAAACACTTCAAAACTGGTAAAAAAACAAGCATGATGCTAATGTTTTGTTGTGCAACAGATTTCGAGAAAACCTGCTTTACTGACACAACATTCTAAAATTAAAATGACGTTTAGCAAGCATGGTTTTGCTAAATAGTTGCTATTATTGCTTTTATTATCCAAAATAAAATTAAATATAGTTATAAAATATCATCAAAACCGAATAATTCTATTCGGCTTTCGTTGTAATATCAGGAAAGTCGTATCACTGACATTTTTTTTTAAATTCATGCCATGCTAAAAATATCAAAATTCATTTTAATACAAAAAATGTATTATGCTCATCATAAAAAAGTGACTATGTACACTGTAAAAAAAAATAATTTCAAGATTTGCTATCACAACATTTTTTCTTTTGTCAAATTAACTTAAATAATTTCTTTAGTTGAGAATTATAACTTATTATTTTGAGTTTCTGATGGTTAAATCAATCTCCTTCATTGTATTAACTCACTTTTTCCAGTTCAATCAACTTAAAATTTTAAGGCAACCAGGTTACTTACTTTTTTAAGTTAAATCAACAATATTTTTTACAGTGCATGAACAGAAATTGAATGTATTTTCGGGCATCATGTAATTGACCCTCAACTCATTGCATTGTTTCTGAGCGAGTGAAATAAAAATGGCACATTTATCACCAGCCCTATACAATTCCTAGCCCTATGAGGGATCAAGGTGAGGAAGTCAGCCATTTCAACTGACCTGGACCTGCCATTCACATACAACATGAACTATAAGTGCTGACTCTGAAAATGTGTGGATGGCACTGTCGAAAAACTGCTTACAGGTTGAAAATAATTAGCGTGGAGTTAGGCGAGCATGTTGCTGCTGACTTGAGCACTTTACAGCCAAGAGAGCAGATTCAGAAGAGTGACTAGTTTGAAGCTTGACTGATAGGGGTGAGCAGGTGAGAAAGGTTGACATCTGACTGATTCGAGCTTGTTTCGAACTACTGCCAACGGGGGTGCAGTGAGACCGCTCAGGAGAAAATGTCATGTTCATGGAAATTGGAAACTTCTGCAAACAGTTTCTTTTACTCGTAGGAATTTTAGGAAGAAACAAAGTCAATGTACTATAGACATGCTTGTCCATCTGAATATTTCATACTGTATGTGTCAGTGAAATCATGCGAAGGGAAAATATTCTCTTTACAAGTTTGTGTGTGTGTACAGTATGTCTCACCTCATCTTTGTCTTCGACCTGTATGTACAGAGGCAGGGCGAAGCCGACCTGCGCCAGCTCGGGGATCAGGACACGATACTCAGAGCTGTTGAATCTGGGTGGATTGTCATTTTTATCGATCAGCAAGATGGTGAAGGTGGTCATGACGGTGGCAGACGAGGGCGTGCGGTCCTCATTCAGCTCTGTCGCCTACACAGAGATGGAAAGACATTTTGAATGCTATCTCAGTACAGCAGGGTCAAAAGAAGACCGCAACGGAAATCTGGAGGACTGGAAATAAAGAAATTTTTATGCACAATGAGTAAGAACTATTTTCAGAGAATTTGTGACACTGATCATGTGACGATGTTCTTATTTCCACTGAACACATCTTGTGAAAATGTTAAATGTTTAATAAAGGGGCAAAAAGCCATAAAAATGGTGTTGTTTTTCAGCAGCATTTGTGTACAGTTCAAATTTTGGTGTTCAACTTTGCGGTTTAAAAATACAACAACAGTTTCGTTTTTCAAATACGGGTTAAAAAAAGAAAAACGAATGGCCGGAAAAGTACACGGACCTTGTTAAATATTTCAAATAATGTATTTGAAGAAAATCTTTATAGTCTTGGGTCCGTGTCAATTTGCGTATTCAAAAGCCGGTTGCGTAATTGCGGCTCAGCGAAGGCCACCCTGATTCAAAAGCGACGCCACCTGCACCTTTATTTGCATTTAAACGTAGTTTGATTGATAATAATAACTGATGATCGATTGATACATTCGTAATTAGGGCTGGGCAACGATTAATCGCGATTAATCGCATCCAAAATAAAGGTTTGTGTTTAAATAATATATGCGTCTGTAGTGTGTATAGCTATTTTGTATATATAAAAATATTAATTCTGTATAAATATATATATAAAGTATATACATGCATGTGTGTGTATTTATATATACAAAATAGTTATACATACCACACACACAAATATTATGTAAACACAAACTTTTATTTTGGATGCGAGTCGTTCCCCAGCCCTATTCGTTGGCTTTGCAAACCACATACTGATTAGTGTATTGATTAGTGGTTCTTATGTGTGTATTAAGCCTATATAAAATGAAGAGTGACGTCACCAGTCGAAATAGCCGTACCCCCCGAAGCTCACAGTATAGCGCAAGGGACATATGCGCTATCACGCAAAAGTAAGTAATCGGCAGCGCGCTAACAGATGACGTCATATCTAGCGAGATTGCATAAACTACACAGAACATAATTCGTTTAAATTCAGGCAAACTTTATATTTTATGGACAATACGAAACAACATAAGACTTTTTAATAAGGGCCTTAATTTTCTCTAAATTGATTTGTCAACTTTTAATACTTTTTAAGACCCGCTGGACATCCTGAGCCCACAGCATTGGTTTGGATGTTTGTGAAGTTTTTGTATCTTTAGATTTGTTCTTAAAAATAATAGTGTGAACGCAAGAACGCTAGAAAAACACAACAAGTGTGAACACACTCTAAAAAATGCTGGGTTGTTTTAACCCAATTTTGGGTAAAATATGGACAAACCCAGCCATTGGGTAAAAAATGTCATTTAAAAATGTAACCCAATGGCTGGGTTTGTCCATATTTTACCCAAAATTGGGTTAAAATAACCCAGCATTTTTTAGAGTGCACCATTAAAATACACAGCCATCAAAATATACCCATCCTAATGACATTCAAAACAAGCCAAACACGTCTAACCTAAGCTAAGAGCGAGCCAGATAGCTGACGGTGAGAATGAATACCACAAAAAGGAACAATGTAACATAATTAGCAATTCTAGACAGAATCAAATTATCAAAAGTCCAAATATTTCATAAATGAACACACAGTTGGCAGAGGAATAATCCGTGCAACCATTCATTTATTATTTTGTTGACTAATCATTTACACCTGAGTAAAACGATAATCAAACATCATACTTTATACAACGCACCCTCCATCACTCTAATGTGATGAAAACATTATAAGTAGCTCTACAAAAGCAAAGGAGAAGCAAAAGAAAGGAGAGAGAAGAGTGACGAAACAAGAGAGGAATGGATGTGATGATAGAGGGAATCTGGCAGTAAGCAGCATTAACGTTTAGTCTTCAATCTCCTCCATTTGTTCAGCTCTGCCTCTTTATTAAATCAGAGGGGAGGATTCTGGGAGATATCCCACAGGTCTGCCATAAATGGGGGCAAACGGGGGCCAGACAGATACAGGCAATAAAATTTAGGATGAACACATCTTATCGACAGGAAACAATTGCTTCCCTCCCTCTCTTTCTCTCTCTCCTCCTCTTTTTGAGTGATAGAGTTGGACTCACAGAGAAATCAAAAGGAATAATGGTGTTTTGTGAAGGAGGGATGCAGGGGGAACGCTGTGGTGACGCTGCACGAATTGTGTCGTTTAAAACCCCCTTGCACATCTCTTCTCTATCCCTCCGTATAATAAATGCACTGACCTCCGGTCCAAAGTACTTCAGCTTATCCAAGCTCTGTGAAGTTGAGAAATTAGTTTTATTACTTTTCACTTCAAATCAATAATGCGACCAATAAGAGAGAGGGAGACTGAGAGAGAGAGAGAGAGTAAGACAAAATGGTAACGAGAAAAAATATATATAAAGGAGCAGAGGCTCAGGAGTGAGAAATAGATAATGAAAATCTATAACTTATGAATATTTTGTGAGGTTTTTCTTGCGCTTGCTTTGTTTTGAGTTTCACTTTTCGTGGCAATCATTGATTTCAATTTAGAGAACTACAGCTGTGCAGTTTATGTCTGCAAATAGAGCAGAGGAATCTAAAACGCATTTATGAAACTGTCCGGACGGGATTCTATATAATATTACAGGGAGAGAAAGAGGCTGTAACTATAATTTCACTGTGTCCCTTTTCTGTTCTGCCCAAGGGGGTAATCCATCGACCGGAAGTTGAAGCCGGCCGGGTGCCGCCATCTTGTAGCAGAACTTCACTTGAGTTAGCATTTCCATTGACTCCCATTCATTTTGGCGTCACTTTGACAGTGGATAACTTTACATCTGAGGCGTTTGAAGACTCCATTTGTCCATTATTTATTTCTAAAGAAACACGACAATGTATAAAATGCTCCATTACCTTGTAGATTATGTTAAGAGCCCGTAGAAGCAGTCTTTTGTAAAAGAGCTTCTAAAGAGCTGATTTTGTGTTAAAGAAGTGCTGCTTAATATTTCTTGTGGAAACCATGATAGCTCAAATCCAAACTTTTTATATATATATATATATATATATATGTGTATATATATATATATATATATATATATATATATATGGTCTTTATCAGAATTATTTTCAAAGGTCTACACTAAAGTCTGTCTGCTCACCCCTTTTGTTCTTTTTGTCCCTCTCATCTTCATCCTCATACAGCCCAAAGAGGAGGCAATGGTGTGTGTGTGTGTGTCTATTTCAGGAGCCTCTGCTAAACTGAGCTCTCAGAGATTGAGAGACTGGAACAAAGAGCTTTCCTGCCTGAGGTCTACAGGGACACTTTCTGTCTCTCTCTCTCCCCTCCAGTGTCCTGGCTGTGTCTGGCCCTGGCACTGTCAGCGGGACACTGAGATAACAATGAGATCACACACAGGTGTCTGTCACATGGTCACTCATTCCAACTAGCTACAACAGTAAGAAAATAGATCATTTAAAAAATAAATAAATAAATAAAAAGGAGATCCAAAGAGCATCTTGAGTTTCAATGAAAGCAAGAGCATCTGAGCATCTGGTCAATGTCACAAAAATATTATTCGTATTTGAATAGAGACCTAGATGTAGAATCTGACAAAAATATAATAATAAAATTGAAATCTGTTTTAATAATAATGAAATAGATCAATGTCACATTATCTGTACACAAATGTCATGGTATGAGAGTTGCATGTTTCTCTAAAAACACTACACCGAAAATGCAGTCCAGTCCAGTTCAGTTGAAGTGTTTTGCATGTTTGTAATGGCTAAGCAATGATAATTAACCATGTATTTAAAGCTCCAGGGTCAGTGAGACCTTTTCACACACTGACCCTGATAAACTCAATGTGGGTAAATGGCTCGATAAATTACAGTCACAGTCCGCAAACATTTACAGTAGAATCAATACTGCATTTGGCAGAGATCCCAATGACTTCTGTGCAGGGGATGAGAGACTAACCAGAACTACTATAGATGTGAATTTCTGGAAACAGAACAAATCGTATTATATGTGATTTTATTCCTCACTTAAAGTCAGTGTTGACCTTGAAACATCACAGAATAGATTTTAATAATGCATTAGAGGATTTGAATCTCACACAGGGTTGGAAGACTTATAATAAAAGGTTTTAAGAGCTTAAGGATTTTAACTATTCTGATTCCAATTCCACTGAACGATTCCAGCTTCTCAACAAATCAATGGACAGTTCTTTTGGTACTACTGAGGAAGCATTTGTCCAAATTATATATTAAATAAAAACAATTGTATTATTTGTATTATATTAAAAAGCAATTATTTTATTTCATTATTTAAGTACCAAAATATATTTTCTGAATGTCTATTAGGGCTGGGTAATAAATATCGATTTCTCGATATTAATCGATTTACGAACCGATATCGATTCTTAAATGTCAAGAATCGATTAATCATCCTGTTTCATTTGAATGAATGGGACATTGTATCACGGCTGCACAATTTTCAATTAATCAATGTCATGTATCGTCATATTTACCTCAGAAAACCCACATAAACTCGTTAGTCAGCTAGAAAAAAATAACTCCAGAGAGGAGCATTTTGCTAAAATATATACAGCATATAACATATGCATTATAATCTTAATGTTCTTCAATATTGAATGCATATTTGAATAAATCTGGCAAGTTTTTTATGACAGCCACCATTTAAATGTTTATATTTCATATAATCTTCTTATTATAAAAATAAATAAAAGTGTAATTTAAGTGTTTGTATAGCTACCAAACAGTTCATTATTACCTTCATATTAGGCTAATGAAGCCTAGTAGGCGACTCCCATAGTTTACAGCATTTAAGAGATTTGATTCCCTTGAGAAAAATGGCCATTTATTGTAACTGATATCCAAAATAATCGATATTTAATTGAATCGAATCGTAATCGAAATTGAATCGAATTGCAAGCTTGTGAATCGAAATCAAATCGAATTGTGAATTTTGTCTCAACTACCAGCCCTACATTTTTTTATAAGGCAGAGCGCTCAAGAACTGTTAACGAAACCGAACGTCATAAAAAAATGGCACCGTTTGTGAACAGGAATATTGAAATTGAACAAATCATTTTGTGAAGCTCAACCTCCACCTGTAGTTTTGAGTCGCACCTTCACTGTGATGGTGAATCCGGATGAGTACAGCGGGTTCTCCCGGTCCAGCTGGCCGCTCACGGTCAGAGATCCGCTGATGTAGTCGAGAGCAAACATGCTGTTGGTGTTACCTGATGAACAGAACCAAAAAGGATTGTGAATTATTGTGGCAGTATTGGGTCAAAAGATGTTTCTGTTTGCACTGGATACTGCCATATTAAACCCAAGAGTTTGTACCCTCGTTACACTTTGACTGTTTAGCATTTAGATATTTTAAATATTGTGAGGTCATGATTGTAAAGTGGTTAAATATCCAAGCCCAAAATCAAAGGTTGTAGGTCAAAACCCTCAGAGGTGTCATGGAAGCGGAGGCCGTTGAGTTCCCTAATCACTATTCTGCCCTAGAGCAGGGCACTTAACCTCCGCTCCAGGGGGAATGTCCCTATCGTCAGCTTTAAGCTAAGGATTTAAAGGTATTCATCAGATCATTCCTATCCTGTAAATTAGGGCTGGATGTTATGTCAAATTCAGTGGTTAAACTTAATACCAAAAAATGGTACACGTTTGCACCTCAATAAGAGGGCAGGATTCTAAACATTATTACACTGTGAAAAAAATATTGTTGGTTTAACTTAAGTAAGTAACCTGGTTGCCTTAAAATTTTAAATTCATTGAACTGTAAAAAGTGAGTTAATACAATAAAGGAGAATGATTTAATCATCAGAAACTCAAAATTATATGTTATCTGAACTAAATAAATTATTTAAGTTGATTTGACAAAAGAAAAAATGTTGCGATTACTACACTGTAAAAAAATATTGTTGGTTTATCTTAAAAAGTAAGTAACCTGGGCTGCCTTAAAATTTTAAGTTGATTGAACTGGAAAAAGTGAGTTAATACAATGAAGGAGATTAATTTAATCATCAGAAACTCAAAATAATAAGTTATCTCAACTAAACAAATTATTATAAAGTTGATTTAACAAAAGAAAATATGTTGTGATAACAAATCTTGAAAATATCTTTTTACAGTGTAGTATATAGTAGATCTATCTATCAGACAACAATTAGTTACATCATTTTTTTTTCAGTTTCAATTCATTTAAATTCTACCTCTGTGTTCAAATTTAAATTTCAACTAAACACCCTTTACTACCAAAATATGAATGCTTCCAATATAGCACAGGATCTATATTGTAATTTAGAGGCATTCTCAACTTAATTCTGTACCACATTATTTAATATATTCACCATCTGTTCAATGGATTTCCAACAATAATGACTATGGTATATTGTGATATAGACCGCTAACGCATTACTTTAAAGCTGCAGTGCATAGTTTTTCCTCTTTGTCGCCATCTGTGTTTGAAATTGACAATTGCAGTTACACGCGGAATGATCAACTTTACGTGGGTTGTGCCTCGGCGCGGCACTACGCAGATTAACACAATGTTTTAGGAGAATGTGCTGCTGTCAGTCACCGCGCCGGTGTGGATACTGGCATTCAGAATCACAGATTCTACTTTTTTTTCAGAAGGATGACCAACATAAGAATTTTCAACGGGAAATGTCATCTGAACAAGTAACATCCACTTTTGTTCTGACCAACTAATGGGAAAAAGCATTGCAGTAAATGCCGCTGATTAAATCCAACGATCGCTTATCATATCACGTAAAACCGTGCAAATTACTTTGCGCTCCAATTGTTCATGTTAACAACATCAGCATTGCATGACTACATTTAATGCCTTTTTTAGGCATAAAAAAATGCAATAATTGCAATAACAAAATAAGTTAAATAAAACAAATATACTTTATTTATATAATCTCACTTTTATTAACCACTAAGAATAGCCTACAAATATATATAAAAAAAAGAATAAAAAGTAAGTTACCTGGTTGCCTTAAAATTTTGAGTTCATTGAAATAATAATAAAAAAAAAATAATGTGTTAATACAATTAAGGAGATTGGTTTGGCAACTATAATAAACTAGAAAACCAGCATTAGAATGACTATGTGTTTAATATTACTCATACTGTGAAATAAGATATTGTTCATACCACCCACATGATTTAGTTCCCCACACACTGATGTCATAAATACAATACTTTACCGCTAATGTCAATAAAAATACTTGCTTAAATACCAGGCATGGACAAAGAGTAAGAAACAGGAATAAAAGTAGTGTCTGGCAGAGAGCAGGCATGAGGTTTGGGACTGCAACTCTCCCTTGTCTGGGATAGAATAAAAAAATATCTTCAGAGTGGAAACGATAGCCCTGTTAATTAATCCGTTCCTCCTGAGATATCATGCTGGTTTTGTGTAATTAGTTTAGTGCTCGGCAGCAGAGACCCAAACTTTAGGGCTACAAAAGAGCACTACACTGGCTCGCCATCCGATCCACCATTCTTTTCTAATTCATTCTCCACTCAAAACAGTTTATACTCCCTCGATAAACTGTTCGTCTCATTAACACCTCACTTTCCTTAATTATATGATATTTCAGTAATTATTTTCATGTCTTTTCTCTCTGCAGTGCAGTGTTTATTCACTGCACACTAATTAAGTCCAGCAGTTGCAGATGGCCCACAGAGTGACACACAATCTATCTTCTCTTCTAACAGTTCTTTTGTTCTTTATGATAGATTCCCTCACCTCTGTATAGATCTCATAACATATAATCATGTTTTACTAAAGATCATCAGCCCCCCCATTGCTCCGTTCTCTACCTCATCACTCCTACATTCCTCCACCTCCCTGTTCCCATGTAAATCCACGCAATTCTGTTGCGCCTGCCCATTCCTATAACCTTCATGCCTCCACCTTGCCCCTCCTCCATTGGGGTTGTTTGCTATTCAGAAATGGCTTCACAGTATGTTACAACAGCGATGATTTAAAACAAAAATGGATACTGAATAGCTTTTGTAACTTTAATAATGTTTCATCTTGATTTAATTTACAGAGAGAAGATTGTATTCTTATTTTCTTTATATTTATTTGACAGTAGTCCTTTTTCTCCTGATCATCGCACACACCTGTGATTAAAAAACAAACTGTGAGTAATTTGAACCGTTACACCCTTAGTGTACATTGACAGACCGACAGAAAGACAGGTAAAGTTATTGTGTGCACATGCGCAATGCTTGGTCTAGGCTGAAAAATAAGTGTTTTTAATGCTAATAAAGCATAAAGCGAATAAAGCATAAGCATTTTGTTGCTGATTTGCCATTTAATTGTGAGTTTGGCAAGCAGTTTTTGAGACTTCAGGATTCAAATAGATAGGACTTGGTCTCGGATGCCCAAAATAGCTGCCTGGACGCGTTGCAAATATGGCCGCCGAGTGAACAGACTTTCCTTGAGCGGGACTTTGCGGACAAATAGAAATGAATCAGCGTCTGCTCCTCACCATATAGACCTCCAACAGTAAACTCTTACACTCTTCCTATCGCTCCATTCCACTTCATCACTATCAGAGATGTATAGTAACAAAGTAGAACTACTTAAGTACTGTACTTAAGTACTAAAATGTTGTATCTGTACTCTACTAGAGAGTATTGTTTTTTTTCTCATACACCTACTTTTACTTCAGTAGATATTTTCGATGAATTTAATACTTTTCGATATTTTTTTAATGTTCTGCTAGTTACTCGTTACAATTTTAAAAATTTTACGAATCATTTGTTGCAAGTTGGCTTTCATGCTGCCTAAATCGCACGCCAGTTTTATAGGGTAATGGTATTGATTGACACACACATTGACAACTAATGCAGGGGTTGTCCTGCAATGACATTTTTTTTTTTTTTTTGGCAAATTTGTCTCCCGCCAAAGCGGCTTATTTGATTGCTAGTTCAAACTTTTGACTGCTTTCTTTAATAATTACATGACACAATACTTTTACTTTTAGTACTAAAGGAGTGAATTATAAAATAAACTACTTGCAATACTTAAGTACAAAATATGTTGAATACTTTAGCTTCTACTTAAGTGTGGTGCTTAAAGAGCACTTCAACTTCTACTCAAGTCGCTTTTTTGACTGAGCACTTGTACTTTTACTCAAGTCCGGGTTTCTAGTACTTTATACATCTCTGATCACTATGTTACTTTACCTCCTCCTTTCCAGGTTCTCAAACTTTCCTTCTTCATTCAGCCCATCTCATCTCAGGTGTTCACTATTGTTATGCTAAATTGGACATAGCCACACCACCTCTGCATTGGCACTGGGTTCAAACAGAGCTTGTTGAGCATACATAAGTGATTCAGAGCTGCCCTAAAGAGATAGCTGTGATTTATACATTCAAATAGCACCATCTGAACCATCTGCGTAATGGAAATCAAACAACGGGAGAACCCAGATTGATTGAGAGTGCTTGAACCGAATATTTTTGCTCCTCTGGGCATGGGCGGCCAATTAGAATACACACTTTAATTCACTTTCCCAATTGCCCAGTGTGAAATCAAACGTGCAGCCGAGAGCCACGCTGACCTAATGGATTCATTAAAACCAGCATGCTTGGCTGTTCACTGGACTAAGACTTTTGAAGAGCAGGCTGATTTGAAATGATAATAATCCTTATTTGGCATCGCAAATATATTGAAATTGAGCGGCAGACGCTGATTTTTTCTGTGGGGTACACTCTCAGAAAAAAGGTACAAAAGCTGTCACTGGGGCTGTACCTTTTCAAAAGGTACACTTTTGTACGGGCTGCATATTGGGACCTTAGTGGTACATATTAACACCTAAAATGTACATAATAACACTTAAAATTGACATATTAGCTCCTGAAATGTACATAACACTTAAAATGTACATTTCAACACCTAAAATGTACATATTAGTACCTAAAATGTACACAATAACAGTTAAAATGTACATATTTGCACCTAAAATGTACATGTTAGCACCTAAAATGTACATTGTAACACTTCAAATGGACATATTAGCTCCTGAAATGTACATATTAACACTTAAAATGTACATATTAACACTTAAAATGTATATATTAACACCTAAAATGTACATATTAGCACCTAAAATGTACATTATAACACTTAAAATTGACATATTAGCTCCTGAAATGTACATATTAACACTTAAAATGTACATATTAACACTTAAAATGTACATATTAG